CACACACACACACACACACACACACAACTTCATTAAGTATAGTTTCGGAGGCGGTCAATAACTCACCAAAACGTAACTTAAACACGATGAATTTAGGAGATTAAACAATTTCATTAATATTGAAATGGCTCTGGCTCTGGGCTGCCTCGCTTGAGATGCAAGCGCACGTTTTTCAATATTAACAGAAGTGCTTGAAGAAAAGAATAATGTCACCTTCTTAATTCGGAAAAAATAACCGGGAGGAGGAGATGGGTGCGAGGGGCTGGGGGGAGGGATGTTGACCTGTCTCTGGGGGTATGACTCGAGAAGGGCAGATAAATGTATTGCCCTTCTCAGCAGATAAACCACTTGGACTCGGGTGGAACCTCCGCCAAGCTTTGGCCGGAGGCAGCCGTACTCGTCCCAGCTGCTCGCGCTTCAGGTCATAACGAGGTGCGGCGTTTGGGGGGTTACTTGGTGCGGCCAGATTCGAATCGAAGGTCCGGGGGAGGAAGGAGCTGGGAAGTCCAAAGAGCCTGGGAGCCTGGGGGATCCGTGAGGAGGAATAGTGGGCAAGGCTTGTGTTTCCCAGAATGGAAAGGCGCTGGTCCACGGCTTTCCTGCTCGCGAGTACAGCTGGCCTCGGTGCAAAACAGTTACTGTGGGCAAGGCAGGAGCGCTCCTGCGATGGAAGGGTACCAGTGTAGACACCCCCAAGAATTTTTAGGATCCTCTCAGTAAATATGTGTATCTGTTCATACTGATATGTAGACAGATAAAATATCATGGGCGGCTGGATTCGGGATGTAGATAGGAGTGAAAGCTCTCCTCCGTTCGCCCAGTGACAGCCAGAAGATTCTTTTCTATCCGGCATGGGTGCGTGTTGAGGGTGGGGAATAAGGAGAGAGAAGTGTTTTATTTTAACAATTGGCATTTTGTTGCCCTGCAAAGAGGCCATTGTATGCCTGTCGAAATCATTGCTCAGAGTAAACAGGAGATTAACTAAATTCTAAGAGTAAAAACGTTCGGGTTAAAAAAAAAAAAAAAAAAGACCGAAGTTGGAATAAATCTTTGTCTCTCTCCCCGGGAAAGTTGTCACCCCCAAGTTTGGAACATGCGAGGATACAAGTAGGAATTTGTGTCTGATGAATCTTTAAAGTTTGGCTAGTGTGGAGATAGGAGTTTGACGCACATTGCACACGACCAGGGTTACTTAAGTAAACCGAGCCTAATAGCACAAGTTTGCGTTGGATGAGGAGAGAAGTTGTGAGATACACATTTAAAACTTGGGCTTTGCTACAAAGTTTTATCTTGGTTCTGCTGGAGGTCTACAAAGCCCAGGGCGGGGAGGGAGGATTTGCATGTTATTGACAGCATTTTAAGACTGGTATTATGAAAAGGAGGAGGGAAGGAGCACTTTCCAGAAATCTTGAAAAGTGCATCAGAGTCTATTGTGCAGAACCCAAAGCAAACAGGGGGTGGGGGTTGGGGGGAGGCACATCCGACCCGGAGGCTTAGCGAGTTGTTGGGAAAACTGTATAAAATACACATAAGTCAATTATACCCATGTGCAAACCAAATGGAAATCTCTTTCGTGCAATAGCCATTCATCGCCTCCGCAGAGCCCACCACCGACCACCTTTCTGCTTGGAGAGTTCGCAATAGCCTCTTTTCCCACAAGCTGGACCACACACGGCTACAGATTTCGTAATAATTTATGCTAATTTCCCTCCATAAATCCACAATTCGCTTCAGTGGCACCCGGGTTGCTGAGGGAGTAAAAAGGAGACAGAGGGGTGACAAATACAATATTGATTTTGATTCCTTCTGTTGTCAAGCAGGTGTGTGTGTGCGTGAAGGGTGGGGCTGCGGCTTGGGGGGCGGGGGCTCCAGGAGAGGAAATCTGTCCCTAGTCCCCGCCAGCCCCTCCATGCACACTCCAGAAAATAACGCGCTCTGGTTTGTTAATATTTACCAAACATAGACGGGAGGTGGAGGGAAAGTACCCGGCAGCTTCCGAAGGTTTCCTAGGTGCCAAAAACAATACCCGTCGTCCCCACTTGGAAAATGAACTCTGCGCTGCCTGGAGCGTTTCGGCTAAGCCTTCCTTTGCGCGGTCCTCTTCTTTCTCCTTGAGTCTCCCTGAACTCCTTTACGTTTCCTCAATCTGAGTCCCTCCCTCTCCTTCTTTCCCCTCTCCTACAGCACTCCGGTCCTTCACTCCTCTTCGCTACACTTTTCTTCTCTCCCTTCTCCTTTTTGCATCTTCTTTACCAAATTGACAGTGAAATGTGCTGAGGGAGAGGGACGAAGGCTGGTGCGCCGTCGATTTCAGGTTTTAGGGCCTTGAGAGTCTCCCCTGCCCCGCCCCACTTCTCCAGGCCGCCTCCCGAATTTGCCCCAGTGCTGCGCTCGCTCTGGGAACCCGCGCTAACGCATCGCGCCTCTTTGTCCCATCAGTCATTCTTCAAATCTGCACTTTGGTGGCGTGAAACGACTTAGCCTCCCTTTTAAAAGGATTTCATTCCCGGGGTATTCAGCACTAAAACAAACTCGCTCAGCCTGTCAGTGGTCAATTTAAAAAAATTGCCATCCTGAGTGTCCTGGGGGCTGTTTGTCCTCGGTATCTGTGCGCCTCCCTCGCCAACCCCCCAACACCGCAAGGCCTGGCTTTAACTTGCTGGATTTTGGGACCAGAGGGAACTAGCTCAGAAAGTTCTCCTCTCCCAGGTTCACCGGACAACATCGACTTGCAGGTTCGGGTTGGGGGCGGGGGTAGGGGGGGGCAGAGACGAGCACGCGGCGCGTGTCAGGGGAAACCTATCCGCTACGACTCTCCCACGACTGCCCCGGGAGTTTGAGCCCGCTCTTTCAGGCCACTCCGACTGAGTCTGGCGGGAAATCAAACTGCCCAAAGGAAAGAGGCGGGGGAGGGGACACACTTTCCGCTCTGGTGCCAACTGCGGACGGGCAGTGAAAGGACTCCGTACCCACCCACACTCCCTATCCTCGCCAGCGACCCCTGCACTGTGCTGCTGCAGGAGCATACTTTTTCCAAGTAGTGGGGAAGAATATCTGCCGGGGAACTTTGCAGCCAGCTATTTCATCCTTTGGTGATTGAGCTACAGGGGGTTTGGACCTTAACTCATCACAGAGAGGAAAAAACAAAACAAAACAAAAAAACTTTGACAAGTAGTATATTGGCC